GGATACGAAACGACGCGCGCTCGTAGATCCTAAACACTAAACCCCTCAAAGCCTTCAACCCTCAGAGCGGAAACCCCTCAGACCCCAAAACACTTAAACCTTCAAGCCAAAAACCCTGATTGAGCCCTAAACCCTGAAAGCCTAGACCCCAATCCCAAAGACCCTAAAACTCTCAATCCTCAAAACCCCAAACCCCAAACCCTCAAAACACATCATGTAGGTGGCCAACTGGCCTTCTTCCGTCGATGGAAAGTGGCCCTGGACAGTGCAAGGGGCCCAGACGTATGGCAGGGTTCCGCTTACTTGGGGTGTACAGTCTGCAGGGTTTAAGGAGCCTGAATAATTCTGAACATTCTTCTACCCTAAACCCTAAACCCCAGTCTACAGGGTTTAAGGAGCCTGAATAATTCTGAATATCCTTCTACTTGGCCGCTTTTTGATGTGATCCTACTGTCTTCAGCAGACAAGTGCGCTAGACGCAGAATGACCTGCTACTGATCCTAGAAATCTAACATGGCCTAAGTATAATGTACTCAGGGAATTAATGGGATTATTGTGCGCAAAGACCATGCAGGATTTTGAGTATCACCTTAGCCGTAGGTCCCACACCCTGTGTATCCCCCTACAAACGCTAAGACCCCAAACCCTACACCTTAAACCCCGAAACCCCAAAACCCTACACCCCTTTAGTGGGTACTTAGGGTCATGCCGGGTTCTTTAGTATCAAGTTCGCCTTGATGGCATCCTTCTAGTTAGGACTGCATAGTCATCACCCCCCCTCCCTATCACCAGAACAATGCGAACTATGCGGTTTAGGGTTTATAGGGCCTAGGGTTTAGGGTATGTAATCAGTACTACATGGGGGCTAGTCAGAAGGTAGGGAAGGGATTACATGCTTGGAGTCAAGGGAGGATTCGAGGCATGAACTTGTTCAAATGACTATCGCTCAAGTGCCGAAGAAGGGACTGGCGCCTTGGGTTTAGGGTTTAGGGTTTAGGATTTGATTTTCCATCCAGTCTTGGCCACCACTGACTCCGGTTGTCCAGCTTTGCAAGTCGTTTCCATGTGAAAGAAAGATTCCTCATTTTATCCGGACACAATCGTCGAGAGCCCTCTGTAGGGTTACCAAGGGTGCTTTAGGCTGCAAAACGCGAAGCTCTCAAGACTCGTAAACAAACCTGGGCCCGCAACAATCCCTAGATGTTCAAACTCTACTGCCTAAACAGCTACTTCGAAGAAGAAACTCAGTCGCAAGACCACAACCATAAAAAGCAACACATAAACCGCCTACACCCGCAAGCCGAAGTTTGCCCTGAACCTGCATGCTAAAGTCAAAGTTACGGGCCCAGGGGCTTCTACGTATCAAGTACATACTCTACATGTACGCTACTCTAGCGAAGGGCCCATATTTAGGGGCCCATGTCTCCCAGCTTAGAGTCCAAGATGAATACCTCCAATTGGGGTTTAGGGTTTGGGGGATCCCAAGTCGACACCCCACATCTTGGGACCTGCCATGTCAGCTCACCCGCTGGGAATATCTCAAGATTACACCTTTCCTGAATAGAGAACCCCGGCAATCTCCTTGTAAGCCAATACCCTAAAGCCTGAGCCCAAAAGAAAAGCTTTTCTACCCTGAGAAAAGCACCATCTTATTGCTATCGTTATTATCTTCTGGAAATGATTGTACTTTGCTCATTATTCTGGTAGTTCTTGTTTTTACTTCTATTCGAATTCTCCCGCCTATAGGCGAGCCATTCGGGCTCTGATTTGCAGTGGGTCTGAGCCCGAGTGGGGCTATTCCCGTGGCTTTACACTCGTAGGGCTTAAGGCTTAAGGGGACAGGGCTTATCTTAGCTTAGGCCCCCGCAAATTAAAAGCGAGCATGAGGGATATTGGTATTAGCATCCCTATATATTCCCATTACACCACCGCCTTTTACTAGGTGGGGGTTTGA